GGGCGACGGCGACGCCGACGAAGAGGCAGAAGGCAGCCAAGATGGGGAAAAGCTGGAGCTTGGCCATGGCGAAGTGCTTCCTTTGCCTCTCCTGAATTGTTAAAGGGAGCTGGTGATGGAGAGGGCTTCTGAACGAGGATGTGTTACTTTGTTTATATTGGGAGGGGAAAGCTTCTATTTTTAGATATTTTGTACAGAGCATGCGGTTTCAAAGGCAGGGAGGGGAGCTAACTTGCTAGTTTTTGAATGGAACGGAGGCCGCGTCGCGCTTTCTGTGTACGCCTGTCCGCAATTTTTACGGGTTTTGTTTGAAATAGGGAAAATGGGCCGTTGGGTTCAAAACTCTCTGGTTTATATATTTAGTACCCAAACTTCGCTATTTACTCACAAAACACGTAAAATTTTCAGTTAAATTCATAAAAAATGATATTTTTTTAACTCTTTATGTTAATCATTCGGTCTGCTATTTGTGCTCGCCGATGCTCTCACAGACTGCGAAGCCGCCTCGGTGCTGCTCTTCTTCTTCTCTCGTCCTCCCTCCTTCCCCTTCTTGTTTCCTTATTGTCTCTCCTTGTGCTTCTCTATCTAGCCGCTTCCTTTTTTTTCTTACCATATTTGATTCTCTCTCCTCTTCATTAGGGCTGTCAAAAAAGCTCGTTGTTCGCGAACAGTTCGTGTTCGGTTCGTCAATGAGTTCGTGTTCAATTCGTTCGATAAGTAAACGAGACAAACACGAACAAATTTTTTTCGTTCGGTTAGTTAAACGAACCAAACACGAACAGTGATGCGTTCGTTCGTGTTCGATTCGTTATTGTTTGAAATATAAAATAATATAAAATAATTATGTATAAAAAATTTATTATATTTTAAAACATTAAATTTTATAAATTATAACATATAATAAAATAATAATAATAATATATTAATATACTGTAGGCAAGAGAGATAGGGCTAGAGAGAGATAAAAAGTGGAGTGAGAGAAAGAGAGATAGAGAAGGAGAGTGTAGTGACGGTTCGTTAAGAAACGAACACGAGCTTATTTCAAACAAACTAAATTTTAAACGAACCGAACACGAACACAAGCTTTGTTCGTTCGTGTTCGGTTCGTTTACACCCCTACTCTTCATTTTGTTCTTCCAGCCAGACTCACGATGTGGTGCGACCTACACCGTTTTCAAACATCCGGATGACTTACATAATATTTTGTTTCTTTTCTTAAATTTTATGTGAGATACGTTAATATTTTTTTGATTGGAGATAATATTACATCATGACTCCTAATGTAGATTGCATTAGGAGTTCAATGGTAGAGCGTCACGTGTCAAGTAGGCCCCACTGCAATACATTGACATTGACCAGTTTTAAAAACGGCGGAGCTCACTTGACACGTGGCACTCACATTAGACTCTAAATACACCCAAAGTGGCAAGAAGACTTAATTAAGATTTTGTTTATTAATTACTCAAAGAAAACATAAAGCTCAAAATTCTAATAGTAAGCCTTTTTCAATGAACATATCTCACATTTGCCAAAAAAAAAAAAAGAAAAAAATGGCAAGAAGATGAAATTAAGATTTTGTTAATTAATTACAACCGATATCTGCTATCAATCGTAATCAAATTAGTAATCAATTGCGATTAAGATATTCTATTCTAATTTTTTTTTCCAAGAACACATAAAGCCCGTTCCCAATATTCTGTAACACAAATCAATATCTCAAAAATGTTGTTATTGTTGTTGTTGTTGATTTATAAAACATCGATGTAAGAAATTTAGGTTTGAATTTGCCTTTCTAATTTTTTAATTATACATCAAATCAGGTAAGCTGAAGAATCTTTTTAATTTTCATTAAACTATAACATTCATAACATTTAGATAAATTTGATTATAAAAATCACTTTTTTATAATAAAATATTTTGAAATAACCAAAAAGGTTTTATCAAATGTAAATATTAGAGCGATCTATAAAGTAAACTTATAAAAGAAATTATCTCAGGCATAGCTAAAGTCAGAAAGTATTGCTTTCTCAGTACTCCTACATGTTCAAAACCAAGTATTTAAAACCTTCACCTGTGGATAAGATAGTGGGCCGGTGATTGGGCATTTCATCTGGCATAAAAGGTCACATGTTCGAAGTAAGCTCATCTCAAAAAAAAAATAAAAATAAATAAATAAATAAAATACTAGCCATTTAAATTTTAAACTTTCTTTAATGTTAGTGTGACGATCAAATCTTTTATACTTGGCTTCATTTGAATCCAATACATATCAACCACCTAAACTTCAATTTTTATCTACAAACCACTGAAGTTATGCTAAAAACATATGAATCTGGTGGTCTCATAAAGATTGAAGTTTGGTTGGTTTATATGTTAATACTTAAGACTTGTGTGGTTAATATATTGTAAATGGCCCTTAATTATAACAAACAATAAAAAGTAAATTCAAAGTATAAAATAAGTGGTCTTAAAGTTGCTATATCCTATAAAATTTGAGAAGGTACTGGTTGGGTGAGTTTACTTTATTACTGTTACGAGAAAATTTAACACAGATAAATAGATTGTAGCTCATAACATATGACCTGACCCAATCCAATATGATTTTACTATTTACTTAAAGAGTAATGATTTGCTCTCCCTTATCGCAAGAAAAGGTTGGAAGTAATGCAATATAATGCATTGGTTTTTTGTGTCAATCGGTGATGAATGACGATCATTGATGGACGAAAACATTGCTAGATAACGGACAGTAACAAATAATGGATATATTTGTTGCTCAGTGGTGAAAGACAATCGAGGGCGGGAAATGAAATAGATCTATGATGAACAAGAAAGAAAACCAATAACACAACTAATCTTTGAAAAGTTTTGCTTTACTAGTTTTGAAAGATAACTGTAACAGAGTGATTACTCGTTTATGCAATCTTTTCTTAATGAATTAATTATCATAGGATGTTTAAAATTAAACGTGACATGAATGGGGATCCAAAGCATTGTTCTTTTTTTAGTTTTCTTCTTTCTTATACTTATCTAATAAGTTCTAGACTTTTCTAATTTTTACTATGCTTTATAATCTATTTAAGACTATTTATATGTTTAATATGTAATTCACTATAATAATCTTAAAAGATTGTCGCATTAGAGCTCCCAACTTAGAATTCTAAGAAGTACTATAGAATTTGTATATGATGGTTGGTTTGAATCCTCAAAATCATTTTAGATTTCTTGTTTCTTGGAAAGTAGAGCCCTATAAAGGCCACTTGACATCGTATACATGCAAAAATTCAAATTCTCACTCTTTGAATGTTAATCAAAGATATACAACACACAATGCATGCAACATACACATTTGACTTTATTGGTGCACACCTACTGTTTTAGATTCTAAAAGCAAGATCATTGTATTTTGAGAGACTTTTCTTGCCCACCACTCCTCATTAGCTTTCTTCAGCTTTCTAATTCTTTACAATGAAATGAAGCCTTTCGCTTGCACTATTTTATTTTTTGAATGACTGAGGTCTCATTGTTCTTCTTAGTCTTTATAGATCTTCAAAATCATAATTTCATCTGCAATTTATTTTATTTTATGTGTTAGAGTTATTAAAATTATTCATTATTATCTGAACATCAAGATA